ACCCCAGGCACAGCTACAGTTTGGGCAGAGAGGAGATTCAGAGCAGCCCTCCGGAGAAGGAGTTGGGGGTGTTGGCTGATGAGAAGCTTGACATGAGCTGGCTTCAGTGTGTGCTTGCAGCCGAGAAACCCAACTGTATCCTGAGCTGCATCAAAAGAAGCAGGTCAAAGGAGGTGATCCTGCCCCTCTACTCTGCTCTTGTGAGACCTCACCTGGAGTATTGTGTACAGTTCTGGTGTCCTCAACATAAAAGGACATGGAGCTGTTGGAGGAAGTCCAGAGGAGGGCTGTGAGGATGATCAGGGGCTGGAGCACCTCCCATATGAAGACAGGCTGAGAAAGTTGAGGCTGTTCAGCCTGGAGAAGAGAAGCTGTGTGGAGACCTCATAGCAGCCTTCCAGTATCTGAAAGGGGCCTATAAGGATGCTGGGGAGGGACTCTTCATTAGGGACTGTAGTGGTAGGACAATGGGTAATGGGTTTAAACTTAAACAGGGGAAGTTCAGATATAAGGAACAAGTTCTTTACTGTGAGGGTGGTGAGGCACTGGAATAGGTTGCCCAAGGAAGTTGTGAATGCTCCATCCCTGGTGGTGTTCAAGGCCAGGCTGGACAGAGCCTTGAGTGACATGGTCTAGTGCAAGGTGTCCCTGCCCATGGCAGGGGGGTTGGAACTAGGTGATCTTAAGGCCCTTTACAATCCAAACCATTCTATGATTCTATTATTAGTGGCACTAGTTTCAAGGGGGTTTTATTTCTGTTAAAATTTTGCACAAAACCAAAGTCCACAAGGCTTCTACTGAAGAGTCAAACCTATGTATTTTGCAATTTAAATAGATAACAGAACAGAAAAGATATAATAATTACTTACACATGGATACTTAGGATAATTAAGTAGTTTTTTCTCACTTCTTAATACTCTCTCAGTACTTAGATGTTGCAGACAGACTGGCAATCCAGTTTTCATTTTTTATTTTATAGTTACGGTGTGCTTTGGCAGCTGCAGACATGATTACCAAATATTTTATGCCTTTCATCCTGTTAAAGGATTTATTCCATCTTCAAAAGAAAATAAAAAATAATGCCTCTACATTGTCATTTGTGTACATTGGGAGTAATCTGAAACACAAGCTCTTGCTGTTGTGTAACTGACTAGTTTGAAATGCAAATTAAAAACAACCACACCCCTAAAACCAAATAACTGTTTTTCTTGAGTGAAGAAAGCAGCTTTGGAGGCATAGCAAAAAAGTGCATATAGCAGAATAATTAATTTAGAAAAAAACCCTCCCAATTCAGTATAAACAACAATTTTGATGGGGCTTTGAGCAAGCAACCTGGTCTAGTGAAAGGTGTCCCTGCCCATGGCAGGGGGTTGAGACTGGATGAGATTTTAGGTCCCTTCAACACAAACCATTCTATGATTTTGATAGTGCAGTTTTCTACTTGTTCCAGAAAACCCTCTTTGAAGTAATGAGTCTCATCTTTCTTTTCTGTGTTGTGTTCTTGTCTGACAGCTTGTCTCAAGGTCCTACAGACTCTGCAGATTGCTCACAACAAGTTACAAACAGTGGAAGACATACAGCACTTGCAAGAATGCCCAAGTATTTCTGTTCTTGATCTTTCCCACAACAATCTAAGTGATCCAGCTATTGTAACTGTTCTGGAGACCATGCCTAATTTGGTAAGCCGAATCTAGCTGAAAGTTTGTATCATGTATGTAGGTGAATCCCATTAAATGGTTTCATTGGGTAGGCCAGTGCACAATATTTGGGGTTTTGTAGGTTACCTGTAATGCCCAAGATGTTTTATTCACTTGTTTTTGGAATGATAGGGGAAGCGCATATTTAGAGCGGGTTTTTTTGTGACTCAACTTTAAAAATTGTTTCCCTTGTTTCTCTAGCATGTGCTGAATTTGCTGGGAAACCAGGTGATAAAGAACATTGCTAATTATAGAAAAACACTTACTGTTCAACTAAAACAACTAATGTATCTGGATGACAGACCAGTTTTCCCAAAAGATAGGTAAGAAACAGAGCCATCTTCTTTACACAGCAGTAAAGTTCAAATGTTAATGATCACTCCTCCAGTTTTTGCCAGTATTGTCAAGAAAGGAAAGGAATACTGACAGGTATAATTTACAAAGGGTGCAAGGGTATTGTATTACAGAGTTCTACATCTAACATACGTAGAAAACAAACAAACATTTTTTCACAAGATAATTAATTATTGAGTAGAATTGGTTTACACCACATCTGTAGGTCAAAGGCAAATACTGATTTCTGCAGAAATGAAACAGGGTATTTGGAAAAGCAGAGCTAAGATCAGCACTCCTGGCAGATCTCTGGTGGTGCAGGCACCAGCATTTGGATACTTTTGTTTCTTTGTTGCAGTTCCACATACAAGCTAAGATACACGGCTCATTATAAAGATGGGCTTTTAGAGCTATATTATAGTTAGGCTTTTGTGTTTTCATTAGAGCCTGTGCAGAAGCCTGGGCTGTTGGAGGTCTGGAAGCTGAGAAAGCAGAAAGGGAAAAATGGGAAACCAGAGAGAGAAAAAAAATCCAAGATAGCATCGATGCTTTAGCAGCAATCAGGCGAAAAACAGAGGAAAAGAAAAGAAGAAAGTATATGGAAGAAAGAAGGGCAAGTGCTAAATCTGGAAATGGAGATGCAGCAGACATCCTAGAAGGTTTGTGGTTACTATTTTGGAAGACATTTGTGTCTGCTTCAATTTGAATGTTTGAAATAATTCAAATACAGGAACTGAATAGTTCCTAAAAGTTCAGAAGCAGGCTGATGCAATTTTTAAAATATATTTATGAATCTTCTTTTCCAATATTAAATACTTTATTAATCTTGGTGCATCTTAGATTAACCACACAATTATTAAGCAGTCATCACCTTTTTCACTGCCAATGAAACAAAAAAATCAACAAATCACTCCATGTCCCAGTGTTTCAAGCTCTTGTGCGCTTCACCAAAGCAACCATGTGCTAGTGAGTGCCATAATGGTTCCAGCAGGCATTAATGGGCAGTTACACCCCAAGAGTGATCTTTCCCCAAGATGCAGAACAGCACTGGCTTCAACAGACCTGTGGGCTCCAGTAAGACCTGCCTTATCAGTCCCTATGCAGACAGCTCTCCAGTCTTGCCTTCACAAGCAGTGAAGGCTTCAGCCTACAGCTGAAGCTTCAGCTAGAGCCTACAGCAGTGGTAATAAAGGCACAGGAAGAGGAAGGTCTTTAATCATTTGCTTCACTTAATGCCCTTTTTAATGCCACAAATTTTCCTGTCACTTTATTCAAGGAGGAAAACATTTTACAACCAGTAATAGGTCAGGTTGCAACCTAACCTTTATAGAGAAATACACGTTTCAGGATAAACAGGACTGAAGCCAAACAAGAAGGCAGTACTGCAGCACAAAGGAGTGTTTATCTACCATCTGATATGTTTTTGGGTTTAACAGGCTCTGAAGTCAGACATAGTTGACCAACAAGTGAAACTTTTTCTGCAAGCAGATAGGTTGCATAAAGGAGAGGATAACTTCAACATTTGTCACTGATCCATCTCATTGCTCAAGTATATATTTAAGTACATAGTCACTTGTGAGTCTTTTCAAAGTCAACTATAGATACGAGGCAATTCTTTACTATAGTGTTTTCTCTAGGAGGACTGCTGATCCATGAATAACTGCTGAAACCAAGTAGGAGCTTTTGATGCATATTTAAGGCCAAACTGTTAAGGCCATCTAGTAAAGTCTGAATATTTAGAATGAGTAATGGTAGATTAACTCAGCAGTTTTAATGAATCTGTTTCTTTTGTAGGGGCATCTAAAAATTCAGATGACAAAGATGGAAATTCTAATACACTGGAGACTTCAAATATATCAGAAGAGGAAGAAATTCAAGAGAAGACGTACAAGTTTACAAATGAAAGTTTTGATGCTCATGATGAGGTGATAACACTTTTACCAAATGGGAGAGAGAACACAGATTTCACATCTGCTAAAATTCAAGAGGATGCACAGGAATCAAACTCTTACAAATGCCCAAACTTCAACAAGGAGACAGATGGTAATGTACATGGTGAAGAATCAAACCAAACTGAGGATGCAGAGATGATGAGCCAAACTCTAGTGTAGCACCGCCTCTGCTGCGATTTAAGCCAACTGATTCATAGATAGGAGCATCCCACTAGATTTCCACAGTGACTAGGTGAAAATTAAGTAATACTGGATAAAATATTCTTTAACTACAACAACAAAAATTTCCCAGGGCTCAATCTGCAACTTCAGCTACATAAAGAAAGAATAAACACATCACAGAAGCTGGACATCACTCTAGAGGTGGTTTTGTGCCTTCACACATGGAAGCACCCTTTTTTAGATATGTGGAACACATTATTGCAAAATGCCAATATTGATTTATACAGTATAAGGGAGACCAGGAGTATGGTGAAAGGCAGTGCCAGATTAAGCTGCGGATTCTGCAGTGGTAGTCAGGTTGCCGGCAGTCTGTTTTTGCAATGCTTGCTGTTGCAATACACTCTTTTATTCACTCAGTTCTCTGCAACTATTGTTTATTCTTTAGATCTACCAAAAGAGAAGACAGCTACTGAAAAGGCCATGCTTCCTGAACTGGGTCAGTATGCTGAAATTGAACAAACCAAACTGGAGACACTGGAGAAACTTTGTCTTGATGTATGTATTGGATTCAGATTTTGAGAAGTTCACATTTGGTTATTGCCTGCTCCCAAATTAATTCTTGTAACATCCTGGCTAATAAGACTATATGGCCAGGTTTCTAGGAAAGGTCTACTGGTAGGAAAAGTAGAAAGAAAGAAAAAAAAACAAAACAAAACAACATATGAAAGTTGTAGGGGTATTCATTCTCTCCAGTGTAGCATATGTAAAAAATTTACCACCACTTCCAAAGTTTGTTTTGGCCATATATCACCTGCAGCGGACCTTCTATCTCTGATTTTTCTGGAGAAGTTCATGAGGGTTCTCATTTAAAAAACAGAATTCAAAACAAAAGGAATCTAGTGTATACACGCCTCTTTGTAGGCAAAACTCAAACAAAACATGAGGTTGAAAATGTGAACTATTGCAGAAAAAGCATAAGGAAGAAACAGCCATGTTGTAAATGCAGTATTAGATATTATAAATTACTTTTCAAAATGTGACTTTTAAGTATATTTCCAAGAAAAGCAAAATTTATATTATTCAGGCATATAATACGCAATTGACATTTATAATATCTTTTATTATCTAAGATTTCTATCTGATGACGTAAACATTTAAACATATTCAACGACATTTAACCATGAGAGGACATGGATGCCACTGAAAAATACAGTCTCACTTCAAAGGATAATTATTCAATATGTCCTAATTATAAGACTGTGTCAGATTATGACATTACTAGCAATAACAAACTACTGAGCTTATGACTTCCCAGACCACTTAATATGCTCTTTGATCCTTTATACTGCCACAGTAACTACATTCTTGCTGGAATGTTTTAGAAAAGCCTCTTCCTCAGGAAAAGAAATCACCCTGTTATCAAAGGGCTCGACCCACTGCTTCAATAGAGGGCTTACTGCTGTATCCTCCCATTTGACTGCTTTTAATAACAGGTTTAACAAGGACAGTGGAGGGAATTAGCAGCAATTTTTATAAGCTGATCTTGCAGGGGCTGAAATAAAGGCTTTAAAGAAATAGCAATACTGTAGGTACCCAAAATGTCAAGATCTCATAGATTCAGTGCTTGTTTTTTTTCTTGGTGCTATATGGCACCATAGTAAGCTCCTTTGCACAAACTTTAACATGGTATAAAAGGAACACTTCAACATACATGCATGGGATTTCTTCTGACACATAAAAAGTATGACTATTGTAATCTTACAGAAAAAGAAACAAAGTCAAATCACATACAAATACACATTTCATGTTCTATGCTACTTTGTTCAACTGTTGTTCATTAATGGAAAGAGCTTCTCGCAACAACCTCCAATACTTACGCTATTGTGGATTTTCCAAAGAGACTTAGCGCTGACATGGCAGGGAATGGGTGTAAGGATGCCACTCGTGAGAAGCTCTTGTGCAGCTCCATTGTCTTTACTCATCTCCTGGAGTCAGTAAATGGTCTCAGTGGTAATATAAGAGAGAAGAGTGGAGGAGGATTTGTAATGTGGCAGTTATGACATCCCTCAGTCAAGCATGAACAAGCTCATGTTGCTGCAAGTGCCTCAGTTCTCAGAAGTTTGCAGTTCTATATCCCTAATTATGAGGCATTCACAGTAAAATATTGTGTTATTGGATGTATTTAGGTTAACAGAGTTTAGACTGCAGATCATTGTCCACAAACGTGAGTTGCAGCTGAGGTGAAGTCTATTGAATAGCTATGAAACAGCTAACAGACGTAAACCGTGTTTGCTTTTAAAATCCTATTAATGCCTTGCTGTTTATCCTTTTCTCCTTCATGATCACACAGGACAGCAGAAAACAGTATTCAGGCTGACATTAAGGTTATTGCCTTCCCATCTGCTATTTCTGGAGACAGATGAGTTTTCCTTTTCCCACAAGTGTTTAACAGAGGAAACTGTCACACTGGAGAAGATGACAGTATGGTATTGCTAGCTGTGGCTTCTTACCCAGAAAAGCATGGCTTTGAAGAAGATTCCACATGAGAGAGAGATTTTATTGGTTACAGTAGCTTTTTCCACTGATCAATAATCTCATGATTGTTTTCAGGAATTGCCTGATTTAGAAGACATTGATGTAAATGAATTTCCCCCAGACGAGGAAACCTTTGTTCTAAAGGTAAGATTTTTATTCATTCCAGTGAGGGAGCTTCCCTAAACACATTTACAAATTGTCTTGCAAAATGAGGGTAATCTAAGTTGTGAAATGGCTTTGGGAAATATAATCAGTCATGCATTTATAAACTAAAAAGGATGTTTCAGCAGATCTTCTCTATCCACTTGTAAATAGTTTTTTAATTTGAGGTTTTATATTATTGTATTACAAAAACAGGAGAATGAAAACCTAAGATCAAGTAATGCAGCTGTTTAATTTCTTAGCTTAATTTCTTAGCAGTATGTAGTGTTTTTACAAAGATGACTCTTAAAATATACATTATAATACTACTAAGCTGTAAAGGACTGAATAGGTAGACCAAAATGCCTCCAATTGAATAAAATCACACTTTTCAACTGAAAACACAGAGAAATTGAAACCCCTCAGCTCCACTGCAGGCTAGATGGATAGAAGGCAGTTCATGCCCACATTAGCATTGTGCAGGGCTCAAAATAATCTCCTAAAAGCCTATAAGCAGAAGCAGAAGAGAAAAAGGAAAGAGAGAACAACAAAGATGAACTGCACAGCATGATTCTTGTGCTGATGTTGACTTATACTTGCCTTGCTGGAGAGAGAGGCCAATACAACGCATGTTCTTACAAGTCCCTCCAAGCTAAGGAAAACTTTTCCTTCAGTCAGCGTAAGGCAAATCAATCATTTTTATATAAAGTGGATTTAACCTGATCTGTTTGTTTGTCCTGGAGACATACTGTGCTAAAACTGGGTTTAGACTGTAGTCTAAAATCTTGCTGCAGCTCATGATAGCTGTCAGCAAGATGACGATCCCGTACTGCCAAGAGTGCTTTGCTCTGCGCTTGAGGGAGGCAATGGCTGAAACTATTGCATGGTCTCACAGGCTGCTTAAGTTGATTAAGCAGATGTGACAAGGATGGAAGTGGAGGTGAGCTTCAGAACAAGAGCACTGTGCTTGGTGGGAGCTCAAATTTGTGCACAGAGGAAGCAGCAGCCTTTGATAACCACAAGTACAATCTGATGTGGGAGGTTGGGAGGGACATTAACCTGCTTCAGCAAGTTCAGAGGAGGCCATGAACACGCTCAGAAGGCTGAGAACATGAACATGCTCTGGAGACAGGCTGGGAGAGCTGGGCTTGTCCAGCCTGGAGACGAGAAGGCTCTGAGGAGACCCTAGAGCAGCTCCCGTGCCTAAAGGGGCTACAAGAAACCTGGAGAGGGACTTTTGACAAGGGTATACAGTTATAGGACAAGGGGGAAGGGTTTTAAACTGAAAGAGGATAGATTTAGATTAGACATTAGGAAGACGTTCTTCACTGTGATAAGACACTGGCACAGGTTGCCCAGAGAAACTGTGGCTGCCCCATCCCTGGCGGTGTTCAAGGCCAGCTTGGACACAGGGGCTTGGAGCAACCTGGTCTAGTGGAAGGTGTCCCATAGCAGGGGGTTGGAACTATATGAGCTTTAAGGTCCCCTCCATCCCAAACCATTCTATTATTCCATAAGGCATGGAATTTATTTACTCTTTTGGTCACAGACTAATAACAGCATTGCAAAATATCTTGGCAACAAAGCCTCCAATTAAAAGAAGATAAGGGAACAGGGAGGATATGCTAGCACTGTCACACCCTGAAGGGTGTTTGGTTCTTAAGTGAAGTCAGATGAAGATATTAGTCAGGTCCCTCTGTCTGGAGGTAAAGTAACAGAACTGAGCCCCCACATTGCTGAATTGCTGAAATAGATCTTTTTATGAATGGTTAGTAGTTTATCACTAGTGCCTGAGGAAGACTTAACCGAAGATTCATTCACAGAGAGCAGAGCTATGGGTGAAGCACATTTTCCATACATTCTGGGAGAATGGCACATTAAAGCTGACTGCTGTTATGTGGATCCAAGAGATATTTTCCCACCTTTTAGCTTTTACATCTAGAATAATATATTTTTAATTAGATTTTCTACCTTTATAGCAGGAATATCACCCAAAGATAGAAATAATTGCTGAAACGACAAATGACAGTGATTCAGCATTAGAGGAAAACAATAAAAGCGTGTTTGAGAATTCAGAAAGAGAAGAAGTTCCAACAGCAATCTTTTCAAGTGCGTGTAAGATACACAAAGAGCATGGAAAGGAGCCGTTAAGACCCCTTGTTGAAAGCTTCTTTACACAGCCTGCTAATTCCAAAAGATACCAAGAGATCAAAGATCTACAAACAACCCCGTCAAGACCCTTGATACAAGTGATTAACACTGAGCCCGAGGATAATCTACTTATGTCACCAGTCCACAAGCAACCAGATGTCCCAAGCCCAACAGAAGAGGATGGTAAGTTTACAGGGACATAACCAGTCCCAGAGAAAAAGGTAGCTAGCACATACATATTAACAGTAAAGATTTGTTCAGCTTTCTTGTTGAGAAAATTTTCAATCCATGGTTAGTTAACAATCACCTTTTCCTTTTATTTATGTGGGAATCCCAATAAATTAGGAAATAAAATGTTATTTTTTCTTTTTCTACACAGGATTTCTTGCTGAGTTTTATTTAAATTCATTTTAAAACTTGGGCTCTACATTTTTTTTCCAGTATTACAGACCACTGGTGAGTTTCATTTGCCTTTTGCCTTCATGCTTTCAACAGGGAATGGCAGCGATGGAGAAGCACAGTACCCAGCTGAGAGTGAAGGATGTCCTCATGAGGCATGGGACAACAGGGACAGTGAGAGTGGTTTAGATTAATCACTTTGCAAAAAACCTCCAAGTATTCAGAGCAGCTGGCAGCATTTGCTCCTTTGGAAGTGAGTGCACTACTGTGTTACAGTTACATTAATTTCTCTGATGTCATTTTTTCCCTTGCATCCTTCTAGGAATTACTTGGTTGGATGTTTTTGTCTTAAGGTTTCATTATATATGTACTTTCAGTGCATAATGTAACATGTTTCTCTCATTTGAACTAAGTAAAGATTTTATTTGTAACCTTATGTATTTTAACTTGTATAATCTCCTATTTCATATCAGATGAACTTTGATGACAAATGGAGATTGCTTCTTAGCATGTTCTTTTATGGTTCTAACATTCATAGACATCATTGTTTATGCAAAACCAGATGCAGAACTAGTGTCCATGCATGAACATCTGGTTTTACCTTTTAGGGTGATCTGTGACAGAGCATATGCTTACATCTGCCGTTTTCATTGTGAGATATGTGTCAGGATCTGAATTTCAAATATAACAGAAAAATAACCAGCCTAGTAGTCATGGCAGAAAGGCAGCTTTAGAATAAAAAGCTGATCAAAGGAATTCTTCTTCCATTTAATTCTCTCTTATACCACAGTTATAGTCTTGTGCCAAAGTGAAACAGAAAATAATAGCACTGATGCCTCAGCCAGGTTCTCTCTTCTGAGCTAGAGAAATAAATTTGAGGAAGCAGATATTGCTTGAGAGCAGTGCTTCCTCTGCAGCACCACAAAAAACAAAAGCGTTGGGGAAGTGGACAACCCTTGGCCAATTCTGCTGAGGCATTAATGGCTCCTTATCCTCACACAGGAGGTTAAAAGAATTAATTGTACACTGTTGGCCTCATCGTCAAGTGCTAACGTTTTTGTGATTTAACAGCAAGTGAGGAATAGGTTAGGCTTTAAGTGACCTCACTTCATTAAGACTTTTCTCACATTTCTATAAATATCTAATAATGTGTAATAAACAGAATTAAACAGGTCTTGCAGATGTGCACATTTAAAGAAAAATACTACTATGGGCTTGTTGAAAAGAGAGATTTCCCACTAGCTGGGCTTAGGTGCCATCTGGTGGCAAGAGAACTGGTCCTAACTAACAATTGTAAAAAACCCTCAGGGAAGACAACACAACTGCTTTAAACTTCAGTCATTTTCCACCTTCTGTGAGTGCAAACATGTTGATAAAATCCACAGCCTCCAGGACAGGGCAGGAGGATGAGCAAGGGCCTTGAAGGACAGGCTTGTCTGGAAGCATCCTCACAGGAATCTTCTCCTTGGAAAGCTGCAAATGCTGCCAACATCTGTGAGCTTTGTCTAACAAAGATCTCCTCTTTTCTGAGAGAAAACTTACGGCTTTGGGTTGTGCGGTTTTTGTGCTGCATATTAATGCCTGTCCTTATACCACTTTGCTGCCCTAAGAACCAACAAGCAGGAAGGACCATATGATCATGTCCCACTTAGAAAAGGGAAGTGTTTATATAAAAGGTAATTTCAAGAGTGAAGTCTGAACTCTATTACCACTGAAAGCAAGAAAAAAAGTATAAAATTTTCAAAAGAACTATTGGTTTTTTTACTCTTATCCTGATTTTACCAGATATACCCACCCTTACAGCCATTTTAATTGGTAGAATTCAGTTGCTCTCTGAGCTGTGTTTACTGTGCCACATTTTACACACCAGATCTCATCAGCAGGCTGTGCATTATCTCACAGGTGACTGTCCTGAACTCCTAGAAGCGGTTTTCATTTATCAGTGAAGACTTGGGAATGAGGAAAGGAGTAAAGGGTAGGGGAAAGTAGTGAGAGAAATGCCAGAACAGGACTAAATGAGAAAAAGGAAACATGTTTAATTAGTGTTTTCTGTAAAACTTTACAAATATACAGCATAGTGCAAAATGCAGTCTCAACACATCACCTTCAAGTAAAATTAACAATGTAAGAAGCCAAGGAACACAAGCTTGCTTCTTCACAGGACAGGCTCTCGAATACTGTTCCTGGAGGTTCCTCTCTCACCATCGAGCTCCAACCTCATGTTTATAGTAGAGCACAAAGCCTAAAGAACACCCCAAGAGCCACCCTGAGGGGCCGCTTGCAGCAGGTACAATGTGCCCCTTGGCACTGTTAAAATGCTGCAGCCCCATGCTGCATGAGCTGCACCTCTGCCTACCCATAAGTAGCTCTCCTAAGGTGGTTCATTCTCAACCCTAACTAGACAATCCAGTAAGACCTGGAAGCACGTGTCTAACCTCAAGCATGCAATAGGCTTCATAAGCACATGGGAAAACTCAGGAGCTTGAAGTTAAGCACATACTTAAATATCTTACCAGGTCAATACATTCAGTGTTAAACATTATGGCAATCTAGCATATGAAGGTTCAGAGAAGGATGTAAATCTTGAATGGGGACAACATACACTGTCAGGTCATAGGAGACACCAGACAGTTTTCAATCACCTATGAGAAAAGAAGTAAACAGAGTGCAACTCAACCATTTTCCATTTCTGTAAATGACAAAATACAGTGGCAAATGGGTTGATCTACGTGAACTGTCAAAGCACAAATCTGTCAAAAAGGGAAACCTACACTCAAGCACATCATCTAAATACCAGGCCAATGGGGGCTGCCAGCATTCTCCCTCAGTCCTGAACAAAAAAAAACCAGTGGCTGGAATTAATTCAGAAGCTCTCACAACCTCACTCCTGCAACATCTGCACCGCGATGGTGGTGGCAGAGCTCCCAGCACACAGTAATTACCTGGGGAAAAACATGGTCAAAAGTGAATGTTTCCAAACTAATACATCTGTTCACATACTGATAAATGGATGGAGGGAAGGGCTGTGACAGGAAGGTCCACTGAAAACATGCTCATCTTACTAAGGAGAATGTGAGCCTGCATTCACCTGATGAACTGACTGCATTTTGGGGTGGATGCTGCTTGACCAGATGCTCAGAAATACAGTTTAGAACCAAGAATCGTCATGGCAATGGAAACAAGCAGAGCATTTCTTCAAACGATACTGGCACGTCTCACACCTCCCTGTCTAAGCCCTTAGGAGGCCTGAGTTAGTTGAACTTCCTGGATCTGTCTTACTGCATTTGGGTAGCTTTCCTAAGGAAAAGCAATTCAGAGGCTACTGAGAAAAATAATATGTTCTCATTAGAACTACAGCGTAAAAAACAAAGCTCTGCTTTGTTGAGAAACTCAGTTGTCACAAACCACATGGAAGAAAAAAATTCAACCTTTGGAGGCAGGTCTCAGATGCACAAAGGACAGGAAGAAAGTTAGTGGGACATGATGGACTAACCCTTCTGCCTCTCTCCTATGCTGAGCAGCTGAGACCCCTTCTAAAAAGGGGATCCAATCGATTAAACTGGTTCATCAGATTTTATACATCGTTAAACCAACAGGCACATCTTCAGGGGAAATAGAACAGGTAAAGGCCAAGGGAAAAAAAACATTGGACTGGACATAGAATACTTAGCCAGCACCAAGACCCAGAGTCTGCCTCTTCTGTCCTCTTTGCAAGTGGAAAATTGTGCATGCAGAAGAGTCTATCCCTTTTGTTTTTATGTTGGAGGAAGTAATTTTGGGGTCAAAACATTCCAAACAACAAACCCCTTCAACTCAGCACAGGATGTTTTGGGGTCTGTAGTGGTCTGTAGCTCCTCTGGGAGCCAGAAACACATTCTTGGAGCAGTCACTCAGAAAATGATCTTCTGCACACCCGAAGAGATCTTCATTTTCCTACTCACCCTAGGAGGATAAACGAGACGCACAAGTACATCCCATCAAAACCAGAAAATGGACAAAGGAATATTTTTAGAGCATTGGACTGGCATATAGAACTATTTTCCTATTAAAAAACCAGCATCCAGAAGGGTCAGTCATCTTAGCTAATCTGTGCTGCCCCAATAAAATCCTGTAGTTTGCCGCTGCAGACACTAGTTGGGATCATTATATTTTATGAAGTCCCTGATGTACTTTCAAGCTACTCTTCACTTAAATTTTATTAGATTTGAAACTTCTAAAAGCATTTTCAAGGAAAAAAAGCCCCAAACCTGCCAAGTTCTCACTCCCCACTGGAGCAAGCACCAGAAGCAGTACTTCATTTTAAACTTGTTATCCTGGGCAAACACTGAAATCCAGATGCAGGGAGGGTAATGCAACAGCTACTGACCATTTCCATCTACTCAAAAAGAAAGGGCACAAAAAAAACCTCTCTTGTGGGTTTCTGAGTCACTTTTGTTTCTTTACATTCAAACCTGTGGATGCTTGGATGGGTAGGAGGGAGACGTCATTTCTTGGAATCTAAATCACTGGCTGTTGTCAGTTGAGGAGCTCAGGTTTAATGGGATCTCTCCTTGGACACCCACAGAGGACAGGTAGGAAGCCATACTGTCAGGTGGAACATAAAGCGATGAACTTTCAGGCAAGTTGATGAGGTCGTTTCCAAAGACTGACTGACGATCAACAAGGAACTGCTGGGTGTTTTCAAGAATGACATCTTTACCTTGGAATGCAAATGGACAAGAGAAAACTCAGTTTCTAGAAGGCAAGTTACCAGGTTTTACATATGTAGAACTGAAAAATGGCAAATCCCCACTGCATCAGGAGGTGAGGGGACTCACTCCAGGCAAAAAATGCTTGGAAACACTTGAGTCAAACTCGGACTCACTCAAAAGCCCATTAAAATCGGTAGGAATCTCTGCAGGTTGCCAAGCTGGGTTCTGCCTGAATGCTGAGATGCCTCACAAGAAGTCAAAGACGGATGATCAAATGGTTGGAGACACTGAAAAGCTTCTCTGCTCCTTCATTCAAGAATTGTCTGGTTTTCCTCGTCTTTGCAGAAGAAGACATCTGTCAATTGCCCCACTATTCCAGCACTGTGCCACTGCAGGGACTGGAATGGCTTTGCAAAGGGGATGCTCCTCCTGAGCAGTTCGGCTCCAGTTTGCTGAAGAATTCTCTCCAGCAAAGCTGGGCTTCTAACACCTTTGATGCTCAGGCAAGATGCTGAGTTTAAAGTGGAGACTGGATGTCCTTGAACACTACACAACATGTCAAAACTCTGGAGTGGCTGCAGGTGGCTACAGTACCAAGTGGAGGCTCACAAAAGCTTTTCTTTCATGTCTATCCCAGCTGAATACACATGAAATTAATAATATATCACTATTCCAAGACCAGGAAAACACTTCTGGATTCATATATAAGGTCAACGACACACTTTATCAGAATCAGTGGGTGAGAGAAGGTCAGCCGGATAGTTCCCTTGAGGTCTGGTAAAAGGTCTGGAGAAGCAGAGACATAACATTTGCCTCTGGCTGCTAGCAGCTACCGGGTCACATCTCTGCAGCAGGAGGAAGAGGAAACCCAGGACCCATGCAGCACATAACACCCCTATTGACTTAGATCCCCACATTGTTCTTATGTGGCAATGAACATGCAGAGGAGATACCAGTAGATACAATGCAGCCCCAAGCAGAAATAGAGGTAGTTCAATTACATTTAAGCCTTAGTTTATCGCCCATACTTTTCCCACTGCTCAGTAACTAGCTTCACAGTTGTTAATGGCAACATTGCTGACTGACAATTGTGAAAATAAAATAACCAATATGTTTTGTTCTCTCAAAGTGGTCAGTGCTGGACATTGCATCTAGCTGCTGACATGTTTAACACCTCCATGACATCTCCATTCCTGAGTCTGCAAGAGCTGCCAGTGCTCCTACCTGGACAGGCACTGTTAAACTGCGGGTTGAACACTTTTGAGGACAGCTCAGTCGCATTCTTCTCCAGATCCACTGTGAGTCGCTGCATCTTGATGCAAAAATACAAACTACAATGTACAATTATACAAAGACAGGGGAGCTCGTTAGAACTAGGCCATTTCTGAAAAATCAGTGCTTCATCAATGCTGCACTCCCTGCTCTGCCCCTCCTCCACTTTGCTAAAACAGCCAAAAGTGTGTGCTCAAGGGAAGAATGCTTGATGGAGGGGGCTGAGGGAGATGTAACCGCCTGTTAGCATTGCCTAGGATGGTGTGAGGCTTATGCCACACAAGGAGCCCAGGCTAGTGTCACTTTGGCTGTCCCCGCCTGGCTGCCAGACAAAGCAAACCCAGAGTCCTCTGCAGCCAGCAACAAATATGAAAGAAATCTTCATTCCATTTGTCTATGACTGTCTTTAAAGTACAAATAGCTTCTGCTTGCTAGGCACAGCACTTCTAGGCACAGAGTTGCAGCAGGTATTACCTTCCAGGCTTCTCTATTCTCATAACTTCCTTTAGGATGAGCAAGCCCACATCTGGCAGACTACACCAGATGCTGGGAAATTCAGTGAACTTGAGAACTGAACTATAGAACATTGCAGCCTCCTCCTTGGCCTTTTCTCTTATGCAATCCTTTTAAAAAGAGACTGCCCCTTGCTTCCACAACTTGCTGATGTTATCTATCTCTTCAAAGACTCTCCCTCTTAACACTCAGGAAGTGGAATTACCTAATAAATTCAAAATTATTAAAACCTAAAAAGGACAGTGATGTCATGAAGCAGGCTTAGAGACCTTTCACACTTCATTAGAATAGATTACACTTTGCTTGCATGTTTGTAGAGTTGGCAGAACCATCCAAGTCTTTATCCAACCTGGCTGGCAATGAGGGCTCTGAAAATTCACCCTCCATCCAGCAGGAAAAAGAACCCAGCTGTGAAATAAACATTTCCTTCACTGCTTATTAAATCACCATATGCAATTCAGAAATACCTGTGTCAATGTCAATCTCAAACAAACACTGCCGAGCAGTTCCTCCTTGTTTCTTCTGCCAGGCTATGCATGAACCTCTACTCTAATTGCATGTGGTTTTACTGCTCCCGAGATATACAGGGAAAGCTGCACTTTACAAAGAGCTTTTGCACAAAGACACTTTATGAATCTTTGATGATATCTTTGATACTATTCTTCATGAATCTTTGATCTGATATGAATCTTTGATCTTTATTAGGATGTGACATTCATGCCAGAAGAAAGTTCATAGTCAGTTTCAATTAGACTCCATGACACCAGCGTGTCTCTAAACAAGCTCTGGGTTAGTGAGAAAGGCAGTTCAAGAGTATAAGGTAGCACTCAGCCTAGCTGCAGGAGATATGTACTTGCTGTGCTTTACCATTCACTCCTCTGTCTATAAGATAATCTCAGCATTTTTCAGTTATGCATAAGCCTTGCATCATCATCATCATCATTATTATTATCACCATCTCAGAAACACACATCACTTACCGGGGACAGACTAGCTTCCATTTCAGTCAAATTCCACTCAGTTAAAGATAAATTGGGATTAAAGACCTGTTGAGAGAAAAATACAATGAGGGCTCTGAAAGATGTCAGGTTTAAGATACTCCTATCCTCAGCTGCCTACCTTGGCTGTCTGCTGGGGTCACAGCCCTGCTGGCAGAGATGCCAGAAAGCAGTTCTGGCCTGTGCCTCAGCTGCTCCAACATATGACTTAAGCTACAGGCTCTATGAGTATTGGTCTGCAGCACAGCCAGAACAGCAAGGGCCCAGTGGTGGGCACTTGTGCTGAGCCACAAGCCTTGCTGCTGCCAGTGGTGGGACAGTGCAGACACCCTGCATCACAGTCATGCTGTAAACCAGGGCAACTTTTTGTGTACACAAGGAGTGTCACTCTGTCACTTGCACATGCAAGTCAAAGCCCTTTCTTGCTGCTTTTGGGTTCCAGGACACTTCCAGATTCATATTTTTCAAAAAGCATTTCAAAACATGGTAGGAGAGGGCAGATTACTGCTGCATCAATGCCTCAATGGCCATTTCTTAAGAGCTCTGAGCAACCTGGGAAAAGAGCTGTTGATCCGGGGATACAGTTTTGTGATTCATTCTCACTTTCGTGAGAGTGGCGCAGAGAGAAAAGTCTGTCAGTAACAGGAAAACATCTCTTAATGAGAAATAAGAAACAGAAACCAATGGAGTCAGTGATAGAGCAGGCCATTAGAAAAGCTTACTGTAAAGTCAAAATCAATCACAGACACTTGGGAATTGGCTTTAAGAGAATAAGATTGATTTTTTTAAATGATTTTTCATTCCAGTTTATCCATGTGTGTCTGTATATGAAGCACCTCCTCAAGGGAGCATATACTTGACACATAGATTCTTATATACAGAGTTATTTGACTATTGGCAAAAACCTTTTATATACCAACTATATGTATGGGGGAAGACAGAAAGAGAGAAATAAACAAACCTTCATATTGCTGCATATGTAGTTAAGAGAAAAGGCACCATCTATTTCTAAAGAAAAAAATGACCTAAGAACTGCAGACAGGTAAATATCTCAGCAAAGAGAGAATCTGACATCAGCTGCACTTCCCAGAATGTGAAGAAGAGGGAAAGGTAGTAGAGCTAAAGAGAGTCTCAGAGTATCTAAGATGTAGAATATGCAGAAAATAATTTAACCCACCCAAAGCAATTACCAAACTAACCCTGTTTTATGTAAATGTGTTAGGTCTCACGTTGATGCTTTCAACAAATGCACTGTTTTGTGCTCCATGAAGTTCAAATGGTATTTTCAGAAAAAATGTAAAAAAGCATCATTTAAAGTCTGAAATCTTGCCAGTTCTTTTGAGGAGGTCAACAGAGGGCAGTGGCAGCATGTGACAGATAAAGTACCGTATCAGGATAAGCAGACAGATAGTCTGTGTGTCTATCTGATTTACAGCCCAAAGTACCGCTCTGAACCCCGCCAACTGTTCCCTGCAGCCGGACACTCACATCCAAGAGGCTGGCGGGCTCCAGGCCATACTGCTGGCTCCTCAGCAGCAGCTGCAGCCCTTCCAAGCTCCAGTCGGAGCCCTCCAAGGGGTCTGAAATATCTGTTCTGAGAAAAGACAAGCGAAAATATTGCCACGAATGAGACTTGTATAGATACATATAGAAAGCAGAACTGAGCAGCTTTCCAACATGAGTTTATACTTAAATCTCATTTTGAAAACCCAGAGGTCACTGTCAGCCTGGGTTTATGCCATAGAATTCACTTTAATCCCAGAAGCACAATCCAGCAGAGCACACAGGGAGCTAGGCTGGTGGTAAAACAAGTGGGACTACTCTCCTGGGTGACACGTGGTTAGGGAATGTGCACATCCCAAGACTGGCAAAAGTAAAGCTCTCCTTAGAAGAAATGCTGTAGAGGCACTTGGGATCCAGAACAGGCTGTAGTCCTATCCTCCTGGGTCCAAGATGGCTGAATTAACCAACGGTTTTCAAGGGAGCCTGCAGGCTGCATTTATCTGAGACATTCATCTAAAGGAATTGCTGTGTTTAACACCCCCTCCCCCCAAAAGCTATTAAAAATTCTCTTTAAATCAGAATCTTTAAAAAACAGATGACTTTTCTTCTAATAGAATGGTCTGAAGTACCCAGTGGGTTCAGAAGGAGGAATTTGGTTCTCTGTAAGGACCCAAGGGAAAATAGAAGCCTTTCTGATAAACCTATAGTGTTTTTTCTGCCCAGTTCTCCTTACATTGGTGCAGTTGCCAACAAGAATGAATTCTGCAGTTGTAGATCGTGCTCTCCTCCTGCTGAAGTCGCTCTGCACTCACTCACGACACTGGCACTGCTGGGATTTCAGCCTCAGCCCATGGCAGACTCCAGCTCCAGAAGCGGCTCACCCCAATTGCCCTGTGGCTGAGCCTAATGGCACTGTGCTAAAACTCCTTGCAAGAGTACATCATCCTCTGGGTGACTGTCACATGCAGGATACCTGCATGGCCTAGCTTCAAAATAATGAAACCTCCATCCCTTTGTACCAGACTCCTGTACTCAGAGAACATAAACTCCCCACTCGTCATCCCTGGGAGTCACCTCACCTGCTATTTCACAATTTTAAGCCATGATTTTATACCTTTTTATAAAGCCTTGCTTTGGACGCCTAGCACTTTACTGAGCCCCTCCAGTTCAAGGAGGCAAGCACAGCAATGCGCCTAAGTTCTGTGGGGTTTCACTCTTAGTCGGGGATGGGGAAGCCAGATCTCTTGTGGTGTCAGCTCCCCAGTGCCTCCCACATGGTGACTGCCCTCTGAAGACAGATCTAGCACTGAAAGAAGAAAGTCACCTTGGAAAGGGGATAGGAGGAGATGCACAGGGAGAACAGACTAATGAGAAAAGTCTATTTGACTTCAAAGCAAAGGAAAGAAAAAGACAGGGGGCAAATTATTTCCTTCCCAAACCCAAGCCTGGACCTGATAAATGCTTTGATGCCTTATCAAATATATGCCCTACTTAGTGCAGAGGTTATGACTATGAGTGATTGTCATTGTCCATCACTGTCTGCGTACTGGCACACAAGTGACAACTCATTCACTACACAGAACCACCACTGACAAATATTTCCTTATGACTTTACATAATAACACAAGCTGTTGGAGGTGTAGTGTGGTGCAGTGGCCTGCAGGTCTGTAGATATGGACACTTGGACCTTGAGAGGGCAAATACCTCTCACTGCAAAATGCCTCTTCCTGCTCCCATAGCTCTGAGGCACATGCTCTGACAGTTCTTTCTCTGTTGGGTCCTTCAAGCAAAGTCATCCACAGACCCTCCTACCCGTGTGAACTGTGCCCTGGGCTTCAAGCATCCACTAAGCAGGTACCACAGGTACAGGATGGAGCTCACCATGCTGCATTAGATGACAAATTCAGCCTCCCTTTCCCCACTGTGAATGGGAAAAGAAGGCCATGAACACATAGGGCCACAGCAATCCCTTGCACCCCTCACCTGTCCAGCAGTGCCCTTCTGCCTCTTCTCTCAGATGGTTGTGAGGTCCCTGATGGAGCTGTGCCACAGCTCCCTTTGCCTTCCAAAACAGACTGAACCATGGCCACAGGGAGCACAGGGGGCTCAGAGCAAGCCCGGCAGCCTGGCAGGGGGACATCAGGCTCAGCGGTGGCTTTCACTGCAGGGCTGACTGGCTCTTCCTTGATCAGCATGAGGCATTTCTCTCTGTATTAGAGACAAGACTTAGCACCACACACACATCTGGTCCACAAAGGCCTTGCTGGGAAGGGCAGTAGCACAAGGGCTTGCTTTCAATTCCCAAACTGCCCCACAATGTCTTTCCACTTCCCTAGACGGGCAAAAGAAACCAGCAACCTTTCAGCAAGCTCCAGAAACATGCTCGGGTGGAATACCTTCAGTTAATTCATCAGTCGGAGTTGTACTGAAATTACCCTTTCATTGTTTGCAAATATGGAAAATACACTTCCATGTGTAAATCATTCCTCAGATGAGCATTTAACTTGAGACAGCTAAAGGGTTACAAGGCTAGGGAGGTTCCCCTGAAAACCCCCTAGAGATAAGAATGGGATCAGTAAGACCTTTTCCATGCAGGAGTTAGGATTCAACCAGTAAGCACTCTAGATCCCAATAACACAGGTCAGGACCTTGGGCTCTGAAGGATTTGGAACAGAAGCTGCCAAGATCTGACAGTCCCAGTCAGATGTTTTACTGGTTTGGAATCAGAGGTTTGCGTTTTTCCAGTGGAAGAGGCACTCCCTGCTATTCCTATGCAGACATATGACATTGAAGTTTTGAGTAGTAGCATTTTCTATGTAAAAATCTACTCTGTACTACTAGTACGTGATTTTACAGCTCCCTGGGATCCTGCACAACTGGAGCCAAAGGGAGAAAGTCATGTAGATCAACAGGCACAGGGCATGGAAAGCCATACTGGAAAAATACTGTCTTAGGCCACTTACAGACTAGCTTTGCTGTATGACAACACACATGTGTGTCACACATAGGGGATGGGATGTGACACTACAAAGCCTTCCTCAGCATCCCTTTCAGATCATCTTCTCATCTTATGAACCCTAAGCTCCCATCAGAAGCTCATACTGGCTTAGGAAATAGCACAGTGCAGAGCTCATGAGGGCCATGGCTGGCTCAGATCCTCAGGCACAGCACAGATCAGAGGCCACCAGATGGCACTCAGTAGAAGTAAGCAACTTGAAGGTTATATTCAAATTTTTCAGCTTTAGAAACGGCTCCACGTTTTTGGTGGTGGTGCTAGTTTTGCTGGTGGCGTAGCGGTTTTGTTGTTGTTGTTTCTAATCTGGAGTTCCTTACATGTTTCTAATTTTATGGCTATGTCTTAAATTACAAAGCAGATTTACAGGCAGTTTCTAAAGTACAACTACCTTGCCTCTCTGCCTGAGAAACTGTTTCCATGATTCATCTGTCTACTTACTTTCCACTGACACTATTAGCTCTATTCTGCTACTAGCCCTAAACACTCCGCATGTCTGTGGCAGGAAGAGATAAGCATTAAAATACCTCTGCCTTCAGTTCTTAAGTTACTGGGGCGTTTTCACAGAAAAGCTGTCAAACATCGGAAGTTGTTGTGATGCAACCCTTCTGTTCTCATTAGCAGGAAGATGAACAAGTTTGATTCTGTTTCTTCTTTGAGAAAGCCAGAAAGGAAACTTCTTTCTCTCTCTCAACAAGCCAAACAAGTGTTAGTACCTCATTATTTGATAAAGTCTGAGAGAGCCCCTGTCCTGAGAACAAAATATAAAAAAACATGGAATACTTCTCCAAGAGGTTAGTGGAAATTCTCAGCATGAAAGTTATGACTTTGTTTCCAAATTAATGCTGTTATTATCCCTCCCTAATTCTGACAATCTGACCTACATTGCAAAAAATATTCCAGCCCACCATTTCCATAGAGATTGTGAACCAGACAGTGACTTCGGTAGAGTCACAGCCAGGAAAAACTCTTTTAAAAAGTTATGCATTTCCATACCTGACTCGCCCTGACAAACATGTTTACCTGTCATTTTCAGGAGGGGATTGCATATTTATTATGTTGGATGGTGATGCTTCAGTAACATCAGATATGATGGGTCCTCCAGCAACTGCGGGACTGTTTAAGCAAGAGGCAGGTTCTGTTGATGGCTAAAAGGAAAGTAAATACCATATTTATTCTTCTCAGGCCCAAAACAAGTCCAAGGCCCTATCTGAGACAGTTAGGGTTTGCTCACCATGCTCTTGAGTCCTCTTTGTACCGAAACCAAGAAAAGTTTTACCTACTATGCAACAATATAGTTTCCTCCGGTCTTTTCTCCAACCATACAGAGGTGTAGGTGTAAAATAAGCACTGTGACTGAAGTGTCAGCTACTGAGACGTTCTGCCATGGCTGATATTTTGCCTAGACTGCTTAGCTTCCTATGGAGGGAAAGATCCACCAGAGACCAGCTTCCCTCTTGGGAGTTGTTGTTCCTCAGCAACTGCAACAGCCTGGCTCTGGTCAGAAAGATCATAGTACTCCCTGCAAGAACATGCTTCTTCCTCTGTGCCCTGGAGCTGAGCTAGGCTGGGGTAACACCACTGAGAGTCTGGTGTGTGGGGGATGCCTTTCCCTCCCACATCAACACAGTAGCACAAGGGCATGCAAACACATGCCCCTCCTGAAACAGGGGAGCTGAAGAAATAATGCACATCACCCACCTTAGCAAGCCACTTCTTCTCTGCCAAGCTCTTGCCAAACTACTTGCTGTGTAATCTGTAATACTGCTTCAAACATTTTCCCACCCTGGCCAAAGAAATCCCACAAAGCTCAGAGGCTGGTGTAAACCTACCGACTGTATAAAATAGGAGTCATGAAGGGCGTCTGTAGACAAATGCCGGCTAAACTTGGACACTTGTGGAGCTGAGATCCCGTTGTCAAGCATCAGAGGTCTGTGAAGAGAAACAGGTTTGTTTTCCCAGCACATAACTGACTGGTTCCTGGTTGCTTATATAAGAAATGTCTCTCAGCCAAGGATTATTATTCCCTGGTACTCTGTTCTTCCTCAGCTATAAGGTGCTTTCTTGTCCAGTGTTATGAACAAGGAAGGGTAACAGTTTTCGAGGTCACCATTAAAAAAGGGCATTAGCCGTATAGAGAAGGGATGATCTAGGTTTTCTAGATCTGATTTGAAAGATGCAAGTAAAATAATAAACTCAGTTCATATTTTGAACTGCACAAATTCAATTCATGCTTTCTTCTACTTGCTGGTATTTTCAAGCTCTAGGCTGGATCCTCATTCGTTTAACTGGAGGTAGCTACACTGGAATTACTAGTGGAATACTGGGAATCTGGCCTTGTTACTAGCTCCCTCGAGCTCAGCGCCTCTTTGACAAAGCTAGATCTTCATACATAGCACTGCATAAAAGGAACCCGTGCCACCCATTAAGTAAGTAACAAAGCAGAGGGAGACATGAAGCAGAGCAGAGCCTAAACTCATTGCATACAGGCTTTTAATAAATGATTGACAGGCTTTTACAGATATGGCCACTGACAGTAAGAAGTGGGTCTGTATGCTGGGTCCTCTGCAGTAGTGCTTTATGTTTAGTAAATAATTGAAACCAAGAGAAAATGAGGCGCCTCAAACTGGCACTACCTCTCCATCATGAAACTTCCTGGGTGGCAGTCTTTGGCTTGTGATGCAGTCCCAGAGGAGCTGGAAACTGGTACATTTTCCTACACACCCACTATTGTTACTGCTGTGATGATCCTATAAAACTGTCTAGCAAATCCCTCTTCTCCTCTCGCTGTCCTGCAGCCAGGAAAAGCATCTTCAGTATTCCTTTAGAAGACAGGGATTTGGTGGGGTGCAGCAGAGAAAGCTAACAGATTTTTCCCCCAGTCATGTCTAACAGGCTTGGTAGAGGATAATTCCTAGCTCCTTTCATCCTGCAGACACTGGAGCTGGATATGCTGGGAGAAAGTAGGGGTTTGCTCAGAGTCCAATTAGATCCCACAGAGAAGGGCATTATACAGCAGGTCACAGTGACCACAGTGCTTGAGGTCTCAGTGTGGTCTAACAGCTTGTTCAAGAGTCTTTC